AGGCCAATTAAAAGGCCAGATAGTCCCGCCTTCCTCTTCCTCCTCAGCGCCACTCGCCGTCGCCACCAGGAAAGGAAGGGAAGGGAAGGCTCAGAGGGCCTTCAAGGCCAGAATAGTCCCGTCTCCTCCTCCTCCTCAGCACCGCGCCGGCCGGCCAGGGCCTTCAAGGGCCCAGGTGGTCTCTCCCCGCTCACCGTCGCCGTCTAAGGTCTAAGGTATGTAGACCTTAGAGGACTACATATTCCAAGATTCTGTAGGGTGGAACCATAACTGTTAAAATGGTGCCATCATACTGTTATAATTGTGTAGTGAGCTAGCATGGTGTAGTGGTTTGAGTGTTGGATTGGAACTCCAAGGGACCATGGTTTGAATCCCAGTTTGGTCATGGAAACCCACTGGGTGACCTTGGGCAAGTTTCTCAGTCTAACATGAAGGCAGTGGTCAATATCATCTAAATAATTTTTTCCAAGAAAAATGTAGGATAAAGTTATCATATATTTGAGTCAACTTGAATGCATATAAGAGCAAAGTACTATACTATGAGTGCAGTGGGGAGTGCAGTGGGGAGAAAACACATTCTGATCTATGGTTATGCTAATCATTCTGTTAGTAACAAATGCTCATCATTTTTTTTCTCATTAAATGGTTCTCTAGTCACTTAAGTCAGACACAGTTAGTGTCTATTTAGGACAAGTTCGGAAAGGTGCACAGTTTGTTAACTCTTGAGCATTTCAGCTTTTAAAATTTTTTTGGCTTTTTGCTGCCAAGGATGCAATGGGTTGCCACATCAGACTTGACAGCATGCTCACTGAAATCTCAGAGGAAAAGCACAACTGGAAATTTTTCATGTATTTTGTTTCTGTCTCCAATATGTCAGCAATAATTTGCCTTGAAGAAGCTCTTAAAACAAGTTCTTAAAATCTGCAGTAGTTCTTAACATTAGGAGTAGTGCTCTTCTTGCAATTGGAGGTTTTAAATTAGCATGTCTTAACATTTCTCACATCCCCAAGTGGGTAGAACATTTCAGGTGCAGGCATTTATAGTGTTTTGATAGTGTTGCTGAACGTTCCACTGAACTCAATGGGGCTTACTGCTGATTACACCTCTACACAATTACATTGGAAGGTTCTGTGTGAGAGAAGTGATATAGAACCAGAGCCAACAACACACAAATACAGCAATTTGATTCATATAAAATACTGGCATGAAGTCATCCTGTGGGATCATGGTGTTTGTAGTTTGATGAGGCATAATTCAAATGAGTGGATGTGTAGTGTGTAAAAGGTTTAGATCAGTGAAAAGCACTAGTGCATTCTAGCAGAGAATTTGAAGGATATCACCAAATTACAAATCCCAGGTTTCCATATGAGGGAACATTGGTAGTTGAAAGGCTGTCAGACTGCCATAACTGCACAATGTGGAGACAATCCAATAGTATGTTTGGATTCATTGTCACATGTACTAATAACAATGCCACTTCTGCAAGTGATAGTTCTTCTGTCAAGGCTGGATCTGACATTAAGCAGAGTGAAGGGACAGAGGCAGAGTATCATTGACTGATGACAGTGTTGGAAGGCAGTACTATGGATGCTATAAAGTGTGTCCTTCAACTTACCCTAAGTGAGGTTATGCACTCAGGAGTAGAAAAGGTTGTTGGGGTGGGGACTCAACTTTTGCTTTTATGGACATTCCTTGCACAGTTGATCTCGAGTTTACAGAAGTCATTCAGATGCTAGGTCCTTCCCTTCAAAGGTTCAGCAGAAGAACAGCTCCTATACAAGCCAGAGCAGCTGCAGAAAGAGTGTCCACAAAAATGAGAGCAGATTCTCTGGTCCCACAACAGATCTACTGTCCACTCTGGTTCATCTGCTAGTCTGGGCATTTTCTTACATGGAATAGGAGGAGGTGTGTATCATTTTCTCAATTGCTTCAAGCAGCCAAATGTCTTCGACCAGACCAGTTTATATAGCCAAAATTCCATGATCCACACACAAGAAGGAGGCTTGGGAATGCCACAATATTTGCAGAAGTACAAAACAGAAGAGAGAGAAGACCTCAGGTGAAAACAAAACAAGAGAATCCAGTGTAGAATGAGTGACTCCAATAAGCATAGGCTGATTACTGTTGGAGAGAGAAGGAAGAAAAACTGGAGGAGAGCACAATGAATTATCTTGAATGAGAACAGAGTCCAAGGCTTTCTGTCTCCAGTGACATATGTAGAATTTTTTTTACTTTCTTTCCAGTTTTGCACAATTGCTTGTCTAGCTGCCAAGCATAGGAAACAAATTAGTGCTCTGTAATAGCAAGCAGCTATTGATTCCAGAAAAAAAGATGTAATTCTGGCACTAAGTTTATATTACGTTGGTTAATATTTTATGGAGAAGCTTATGCCACATGTTAGATCCCAAAGATATGTCTCAAATGAGGAGAGCAGACTCTTCCATATCTGGTCTTTTTAAATTTGTTATGGTTATTGTAATATTACAGATTCTTTGTCTCCTGATTTTTCATGTGGATTTGTGCAAAGATGCTCCAGCACAATGCTTTACTTTTTTAATGCCTGTATTATTTTAATGCTGTCCATGCATATATACATTAAATTATATATATGAGAGAGAGAGAGAGGTGTTCCAGACTGAGCTTGAAAAAGTTAAGCAATTCAAGCTGGGGAAATTCTATAAGCTGCTGTATAAAGAAACATCTTCTCAATGCTCTGCCAACTTGCCATGAATAAGATAATTCCCCACTTTAATACAGTCACCCTTCCATTATTGTGGGGAATCCGTTCCAGAAACCCCCCCTTGCAAAAATGGAAAATTGCCAATATTTGAGCCCTATTGGCTTGAATGGAGGCAAGCATCTGCGCATGCCCCATTTTGTCCATTGTGTCCCTCATGAAACAATAATACAATAACTTGTAGGACCTCCTCCACCATTTGTAAAAAATCTGTCATTACTGTAGAACTGCCGAGTCATAGAACTGTAAACTTCAAAAGGACTTTGAGAGTCTACTAGTCAAAATTTCTCTACAAACATCCAACACAAGGCAGCCCACCAATCTCCAAGGACAGCCATTCAACTGTCAATAGTTCATTGCCAAACTATTATTCCCAATGTTTAGTTGAAACTGTCTTGCAGTTTGGGCTCTAGCCCTAGGAGCAGTAAAAACCATAGAAAATATATTACTGTTCCTCCAAGGAAGAGTATGATTTTAATCCCGCAACAATAAAGCACAATAAACCAAGATTGACTGGTCTAACCATGACCACTGAGTCTTGTGATTGTGTGAGAATTTTAACCCATGCCTTCTCCTGTAGCCATGGCTCTCATTCCCAGCAATATATCATTTTGGCATCCACCAGCATGCCATATGATGGGATTCAGTCTTGCAAATGCTTAAAATTTCTTTGGCTGAGATGTAGAGGATTAATTTTTCTTTTCTAGTCCAGGTCCCTGAGCCCAGTTCAGCCTTGCCTCCCATGAGGAGACTGAATGTTCTTTGGACCGTTTTCATCCAAAATGCAGCAGAAAGTAGTACTTGGACCACTCTCAGTCAAATAGGCATTGTAGGATGAGCTTCCTGATTGTAATGAGCCATTCAGAGTCAAATTGATAGTGTTACAGTGTTTTTTCCCAGCTTCATAATGGAATTTAAAAACAAAAACAAAACCCTTCTTCTGACTGTATTGGGTCTGCTTCCTCCTCTCTCACATACCCAAACAGTCCAGCTTGGCTAATGCAAAAGCAGCAAGGAAGATGCTTTGTGGTACAATTTGTCCAGCTCAAGATATGACTATGCTTGAAGACTTTGTGTGCCATCTGCTTTCCATGAGGCTTATAAAACCTATGATTTTATTCATCGTTACTATATTTTAATGATAGATGCACTATAGTTCTAACCAGAGCTTGGAAAAAAGTTACTTTTTTGGATTACAACTTTCAGAATCACCCAGCCAGCATGGCTTCTGTTTCTGAGAGGCATAGTCAATAGGTAAGTAAAAAGTTAGTTTCCAAGTTCTGTTTCTAAGTGTACCTCTTTCTGGGTGCTACAATGGCATCACTAGGGTTGGTGTCACCTGGTGCAGTAACTCATGGTGTGACTCCCCCATTGACCTCCTCCCATTTCACACCATACAGAATCTTTAGTAAT